TGATGGAATAAGTAAATTCTCGAGACGTGAGAGAGCATTGGTGTATTACCTTTGTTTCATTGGTCTGCGAGCATTGTAAACACTAATCCACTGGGTTGCTGGCAAACCAATACGAATCTTCTTTTTGGGTTGTTCGTCATCCTCTTCTTCCATCGCCAACCGGCCTCTCTTATGACCGATGAGCTTCAGAAGAAAAACTAGCAACATCAACTATCTGGACACAATCTCTGGATGCATCAGAACAACCGTGTAAAGGGAAAGCATATGTAATACCTTTTGTGCTCCTTCTGTATTAATTGGTCTAATATCTGGATTTGGACCCACAATCCCATCAAACAAAGAAATATATTTTGCATAGTTAGGCTCTTCATCAAACTTCAAGTTCACAACATGTTCAACAAACTGTTTAAAAGGTTGGGGACAAAAGCAACATAGGTTCTCTGGAGATGTTCCCATTTTCTTCTTGCAAACCAGAAATCCTTTGTTTTCTCCCTGAGAAATTAATGTTAAAGACCAACCTTCTGAAGATACGAATAAAATTTAGTGTTATTTAAAGAAGTCCAACCTGGTACCCTTGCCAAGGAAGACGACCTCGGAGAAGAAAAATCAGTGTATATGCAAGAGATTCCAAGTCATCCCTCCTGCTTCCCGTTCTTCCCAAATGTGCATGCACACTAGCATAGCGGACTGTGCCCCTGAAAATATTTCCCACATAAGTTAATATCAATACAGAGAATTCTATGACAAGATGTATAAACATGTTCTATATGATCCAAATTCAATTATAAATACCTGAAAACATCTGGCCTTTGGTCATATTCTACATGCAAGCCTGTTGTACTATCCCTCCATTTAGTAGCTGTAAACCCCAAATAGAAGGGGAAGAAGTGAGTGATCAAGTGCTGCCAACAAATGAAAATATGATAATACAACAAATACATACCTAATCCAAGATCTACAAGGAACAATTTTTTCTCGTCAGGTGTCCCAGGAGGACCAAGCAGAAAATTTTCAGGCTTCACATCCCCATGCACATACCTGCCATATAATGTAGCAAGAGTTTGAGAAACACAATTTTAATTATTGTGAAATATCATATATACATTATTGATGGCAGCGAAAGTAAAGGAAGAAAATAAGATTTAGCTTCACAGCAAGTGTTTGGCAAATACACAGTTTAAAATAAAAGAATGCAAAAATTGACAGGAGTTTACATAGTTGGAGTATGGATAATGTTTCGTAAGGATGGTATAAAAATTACCCTCGAGAGTGCATCTTCTCCAATATAGATATTGCTTCAATGGCAATACAAGCAACCATTTCAGTGGACATGCTGGAATTCACAAAAACCACATTAGCACCGCAACTGATAGTCAAAATCAGTTACAAGAAATACAATTTTCTTCATATTTTACATAATTCAACAGGCTTACGTATGAGAATTATTATTCCAAACATCCCACAGGCTAGGTCCCAGCATATCCATAACCTGCACATATGAATGTCTTGAGTCAAACAGGCCAACTTCAAAAAAGGCAAACACAAATAAAAGGAATATTGAATCATCAATCAAAATAATAGTATCAAGGAACAAACACTCAAGATAAAGACCGAATAACATACCATCACATAATAGTCACCTTGCCTACCCTTGTAGTGTACTTGTGGCACACCATGACTGCCACCAAGAGTGCTGCATAAATGGGGGTGGGGGGTAAAAAGACTAAATTAGCAACAGCATACTTGAACTCACTTGTACACTTGCCACTCGTAGGGTGGTCCATAGGAAAAATATAAAAAGGAGAAAGAACAACACTCACTTGTACACTTGCCACTCATAGGGTGGTCCATAGGTACATCCTTTACTAGTTCTGTGCTCAAGTTTTAATGCAACCTGATCAAATAGTTACAAGCTGTGAATTCTTGAGACTAAAAACTTAAGCATTTAAACATAAGAAATATAACTTCAATACTGAAAGGATACATATACCTCTAGAGCTCCCGGTCCAGTTCTCTCATTCAAATTTCCACCAGAAACACGTCGTCCAACATATACTTGGCCAAATCCACCCTTGCCGAGTTTTCTTTCCACTTTATAGTAGGGGGAATTACCAACTTGAACCTGTCAGCAGAAGGGAACAAAGTTAGAATACAAATATCCGCAAATCAAAAGTTATTATGTACCTTTTGCTTCGTAATTACAAGATTTGATTAGGACAAATGATCGTTTATTGATATCCATGACTAAAGGGAAATATGAAAAAAATAATTGTTGAAAAGAAAAAACGATTTGTAGGATCCTCTGTTAAAAGAAACTGATAACAACTGAATTTTCGATAATTACTTTCTTTAATCTATTAAAGTGTGACTTTTCAAACTGCTGGGATTACATGGCGAGCCAAATATGCCCTATGGTTTTTATCCATAACTCACTCAAACCTTTACTCTAAAATGGAAGTTTCATTGGAACAAAACATCACATACTGTTCCAAATGTGAAATCATATTCATAAAATGTTGACAAATCTTAAATAGTGCCAACTGAATTTTAAGAAGAGCGATAAGTATTAGGTTGGGTGTCATCATGAATCATGAATATGTAACAAAGACAAATGCATACTAACACACAAAATATTCACTTCATGACTTAAATAGGATTGTTGCTTATGTATGGATACATTGTATTGGCAATGGGTTATTTCATAAGACTGGATTGATGTGAGAGTGCATGTAAAAACAAAGTATACAAATAACGTCAGCATTGTGTTTTGAAAATCAAACCCGAATGCCTCACACCTAAAACCTGTGGCTCTGGAACCCCATAAAAAATAAGACAGTCCTCATTCTCTGATCAATATACTAAGGAAAAGTAAGGAAATACAGAAGAGAGATACACCAACCATGATTTCCATTTTTACGAGTAAAATTTACCGAGTGAAATTCCTGAGTGTCCTATAAATTTTCAAGAGCCGATTCATGAAGCAATGATTATAGGCAATCAGCGACAAAGAAGTCCCGCTCACACGCAAATTACTTACTTTAAAAAGCTCAGTTGGGGAGGAAAAAAAAGCATAAAGCCTGAACTGCACAAGCTAGCCGGCACAATCACAGTCAAAACCCAATAAGAGGAAGGCAAACTCTAAAACCGGAAAACCAAAACAACGTTTCAATCATCTAACCCTAAAAATGTCAGAGTCAGCCAAACCAAAATCGGCATTTTCAAAAGTGAACCATTTCTAGATTTTCCAGGCTATGTTACCAACACACGAAAGCCGTTAATCCACAACACCAATCTAAACAGCACCCAACACCTAAAACTAAGAATGAAACTTTCAGTGTTTCCATCCAATCACAAAAACAAAACAAAAGAGAAAGAAAAGCAACTACAGGTGAGGATAAATAACAAACAGACCTTCTGAGGAACCTGAGGGGCGTTCGCATCTTCTTCACCGGCATTGGCCTTATCATTGCTGCGACCACCACTGTCATACTCATCCATCTCTTTCTCCCCTACCTCTTCCTTCTCCGCTCCACCGCCACCAACACCTTCCTCCAATCCCCGATTCTCTTCTTCCTTCGCCGCCAAAACAACTACGTTCTCATTTACCACCGCAGCTGCCTGCTGCTGCTTGTTATTCCTCGGCACTGCCGCCGCCGCCGCCGCCGCACGCCGCCTCCTTGTTCTCGTTGCAATCGCTTCCCCCTCCACCGGACTCTGCTCTTGCTGCTGCTGCTGCTTCGCTGCTGCCCGGCCCCTGCGCACTCCGCTACGCAGCACCGGCATCGTTCATCCTTCAAATCTCATCCTCCTCACACAAATTCCGACGACGAAGAAAGTATAAATTCCAGATACTTCCGCAACTCGCAGCCGCCGCTTTGCCTCCGATCAGAACCCGCCAACGCCAAACACGCGAAATCTACCGAAAACTTCGAAGAAGCCTTCGGAACCTCGCCGATTTCGCGGAATAATGCAAACCGACAAGGAACGGAAAAAAGCAAAATGTGACCAGCTGAGAAGCTTCTAGAACGATATCTAGATTGCTAGAATCTGAACTCGCAAGGATCGTCGCGGCCGAATTAGGGTTCCGAAACGATCACACAGTGAAGGAAGAAGCCATAGAAGAAGATGAGAGAGAAAGGAAAAGAGAGGAAGAAAGCTTTTGAGTACTTCCCCGGACACAGAACACGAGGTTTTTTTATTTTTATTTATTTGTATATTCATAACTAATAATTATTTTTTATTATTGAATTTTCTGTTTCGGGAAAAAAATTGTGGTTCTTTTTTTATAACCGTTGATTGTCGGTGATTGGACGGTTCGATTTGATTAATTGATTTTCAGGAAATTCGAGGTTTTAATTGAAATTAAAATTATAGTAATTAACTAGGAAATTAATTAATAGAGGGGGGAAATTACTGGAAAGGGCTCAATGCTGCGATTGACCAACGAAGAAAGGTTTTGGCTTCGATTTCATGTCATGCTTGTGGAACCGTGGAGGAGCGTTCCACTGCACCACCTCACACTGTTCTTGTGGTGGGGATGCCCGCATCCCTACCATTTCCTTTTGCCCTTGTACGATCTTGTGGGACCCAAGACTGGTCAACCAGGGTGATATGACTTTGACCATGCCATTTTGGATTTTTCTTTTAAATTTTAAATAAATGTAAGAATGTTTCGGAATTATAGTCATAATTTTTTCACATTTTTCGAGTAATTTTATTTGTCTTTTAAATAATAAGTAAAATTAATTTGAAGAGGAATTACCCGGGAAGCTCTGCTATTTACTTTAAGCGGAATTATAATTCGTGTCCATATGATCCACGAACTTATCAAATACATAATATTTTGTTATTAAATTATTAATCATATGTAATTTATTTTGATTAAAATATTAACAAATCATTAATTTGAGTAAAAAAAAAATCATAAATTATCTCTCTTTTACATATATGGATACTTAGATTTAAATATAACTGTAAATATTCACGTGAATGGGACCATTTTCTACAAACCATATTCCCCTTATCCTCTATACTTTAATTGTTGTGTTCTAAATTCCTTTAAGGGAAGAGGTTAAATCGCAATCCTCAGCAGAACTTGCAATTTAATGCTCCTAAAACAAGCATATCTTAATGCCTTATCATAGAATTTTAACTGTGAGGTGTTACTACCGAAGATACCTTGATGCAATGCATATTAATGGGAAGAAGCACAAACAATTAAGAGGTTCCTACTAATCACCAAGTCTCACAAACAATGGCATGTTAATTGCGAAATCTTGACAAACACCATTTAGATCTGAAAGTAAGAGTAGGATGGTGGAGACAAGTTATTAGATAAGGATAAATATGCTTCATAAATAAAATGTTAACAAATATTCCTATGATATTGGTTAAATAAATACAAATAAAAAGTATTTTTATAAAAAAAAATTATCAATGTATTTTATCATAAATTTAAAAGTAAATTTTATTTTGTATTTTGAATAATTAATTAATTAATATTCTTAAAATACTTGTTAGTAGGACAATTTATTTTATTAACAGACCAATGGTTTTGAGTTGGTGTTGTATAAACCAGAATCCTTTCAAAAACTCATCATCGTTGAATATTGGAATTTGATAAGTAATTACTTGTTATGATACCATCTAACCAAGACGAAAGTTTGATGTTTATAAAGTCCTTTGAAAGAATTAAAGCCTATATATGAATTCCTTTTGCATGGAATGGGTTAACTCATGTACGAGAATTGGGCAGGTGCCGTCTCGCTTGTATAATAGAACTTGTACTACATTCTTTTCCTTTGTTTGGAACTAAGAATCCAAATCAATTAGCTTAAACTGAGTACTTTTCTCTACTGTTTACATAAAGCTTTTAAGTTATGTAAGTTATGTCGTATGCAGTTGTCACTTACCAAAATCAATTACCAGTAAATTACACCTTTATTTTTGTTTTTTTTTTTGGGGGGGGGGGGGTGTTAATTATACTGATACGTTGATTATTGCAATTTTCGTGACACATGCAAATTCAACATACAATCGACAGTGTAAGATTGTAAATTGTTAATTCATGTGTACTAGATCCAAGGATTCCGAGTTCTTGCCGTTTGAACTACATTGAACCTGTTTTTCTTTTTTGTTGTTGATCAGGTAGTTTCTGTCAAATAAAAAGTTTTCAAAGGTTTACTATTGAACGACTTATAGAGGAGTCAAAAACAAACTTAACCAAGATATTTTTTAGTACAAAAGTTAACGCTCAACATTTTATATTTAAAAATAACAGAAATGTGGGGTATTAATAAAGAAAATAAAAAATATTTTATTATATAAAAATTATTTTTCCTTGTTTTCTAGGTAATTGAACGTTTTTAATTTTTAATAAAATATATTTAATGCTACCTTTAACAAATATTCTTAAATATTTGATAAAGATCTAGTAAAATTATTGCCTTGAAGAAAGAAGAAACTATGCAATTCTTTTTCTAATTAAAAGTTATAAAAAGTTTAAATTTATAATGGAAAACCAACGCAAATGTCAAAAGCCCGTCTAGCTCAGTCGGTAGAGCGCAAGGCTCTTAACCTTGTGGTCGTGGGTTCGAGCCCCACGGTGGGCGTTTTCTTATTTTGCGACCTTTTCTGTCCTTTTTTATTTTTTGGGTCTTAAATTTGGGTAATGAGATTCCAATACTATAACCAAGCCCATTGAGCTTATAAACATTTGAAGCACAGCCCATTAAGAATGACCCAAATCTGTGTTTCCTTGGGCTGAAAGCAAGATGAATTGGTTCCGTTTTTAAATTACTGAAGTAACTAAGAAAGGGACATGACCCACGACCAAAAAATAAAAATAAAAATAAAAATTGATCATGATAGCTTCAACGATTTCCCTTTGGATTCATTGATGTCCCTGTTTCAAGAAAGATGCCAGCGTCAAGTGTATTGATTCAGCTAAGAAAACCAAGATAATCTCTGCTTTTACTGAGAATTTTTTGGTTTAGTGTTTCATTATTAAATAAGGATTAAATTATGCGGTTTATGTGAGAGATTAATTTATATCACTATAAATTATACCTTTTTTATGTTGTTTAATGTTTTTTTATCAAATAATTTTATAACAAAAGTATTTATTAGATTAAAAATTTTCATCATACAATACATATCTAAAATATTAGGTTAATATAAATTTATTGAATATATCATTCATATACATAAAATTAAAGTCATATGTAATTTTAAAATGTATATATAAGAACCTTTTATTTATATTCTTGTATTATTTTATTTTAATAAAATTAGTACAAGTAATTAAATTATATATAATTATAACTCAATAATTAAATAATAAAAATTATATTTTATAATCAACGAAAGTTAATTCGAATGATAAGTAGATTAAACTGAATGAAAATAAAGAATTATATTTTATATAAATTTATTAAATATATTTCAGTTGACACATGTGGTGTAAAGTCTACTTTTTATTTTATTTTAATATTGTCCTGTAATTTTGTTTTTGTTCAATTAAAACTGCTTAAATATTTGCATGGGATCCAGTTGTCACAATTACAAAGGTTTGAAGTCAGCAATTTTATAACACAATCTATAAAGTTCCACTGAACATAAATAATCATAGGAAATTACATATACCTTTGTGTCAAAGAGGGAAAAGGTGGACGAGGAAAACTACTAGTGCTGAACTGATGAGTTAAAAATTTGCATGAGCATAGTTATTGCCTTTCATCATGTCTTTTTCTCTTTTCTGTCATTTCAAAGCTACCAAATTAGATTATTTGGTGACACTCTTTCACTATTTTGGATCTATTCTCCTTTTCTTATGAAAATTTTAACTGTGATGTTCTCACAAATATTATTATGAAAGTAATATTTCAGGGTACACATCCGTCTTCACTTAGCGCAACTTGGCAAAACTATACTTTTTATAAGATTTTATCGTTAATTGTTAAACGTGATCACTTTAACTACTATATCATATAATATTATTATCCCATAACATTATTCAGAGTTACATCTGACAAAAAACAACATTATTAAATTGGCTAATAATAAACTTGTTTAATACTGAATTCTTGAGCCCATAAGTTTCATGCATAAATTGTCTCCTCCTTTTTCTCTCTCTACACACACATATGACCTTAACACTTTTTAATTTTATGATATTTTTAAAAATACAAAATTATAATATATATATATATATATATATTATAAATTAAATAGTTTATAAAAAAATCTTATACATGACATATCTTTATATTTAAAAATATATTATAATTAAAATAACATTGATTGGTTTGAATTAACAAAAATTAAATAAGGAAAGTCAAACATAATTTATTAATAAAATAAGTAGACCTGTTTCATATTTTTCTTAAACTTAATAACACAAATGTACATGTATATATGCATTGCAATGACCCATATAATACAATGATATATAATTGTGTATAAAATACCTGCTATCAAGTTAAGTTTTCACCCAAGACTCAATATTTACAGTTAATCTTTCTTTAAAATCTCTATCTGATCTTGAAGATCCTGCTATATACATAAACACACGCATACGTGTTTATGTAAAATATTCTTTAATATGTTAGAGAAATACAAATTGCGTATTTTACATATCAGTATGAACATTGCTCATGACTGAACAAAATTGTTAAAATCGCTGCCTTTAATGTAGTTTCTATACAAATATATGTATGGTAGAATGTGGCAGATTCTAAATAAGTTTCTGATCGTGTGAAAAAGTTGTATCATGTTTCTATTCAATTACTTAAATGGATGGATATTTGAATATTCTAAAGGTTCAGGAACACGCGCAGACAAGCTTGAGCTAGGGTTTTGATGGTGGGCAGATATCATAGGAGGAAGCTTAGCTTCAAAGAAAATGGGTTTTTCCATGTCTGGCCCACATCTTTTTGTAAACAATCTTGCATACAATACAAATGGCATATTACTATAAAATTGTACTCATAACAATTTTGTATTCGAGTAAGAAGAATAATTAAATATTAGATTATTTGTTTTGCATATTAGTAATAACAACAACATTCAATAATTAACTTTTGAAAAAGAAAATTATATATTTTCTTCTATTTCAATACTGTTGCGTAGTTTGACAATCATTCAAATCTAGTTAACAA